AGCTCATTCTGATTCTGAAGTGGTGAAACAAGACTAAAAATGCCATGTCTTTTTATTTTACATGTACCCTATAATCAGTTTTTTTTGTATCATTGAGATACTACTATACTTTTAATTAATATTTTTTAATAAGCTTTTCGTTTTTCTTTTAATATTTTAAGTGTTTTTGTCTTTTTTTATTCATTTAAGTCTATACAGTTTTCAGCAATTTTCAGTTTAAATTTCAGTTTTATGTTTAGTTATTTCAGTATATCAAATGAAAATATTTTATTTGAGTTAGCATTTATTTATTTCAAGTAATGAAAATGATATATCTATTTATTATAGCATGTTTTACGTTTACCTGCTGAAACAAATACTGGTTAGCTGTTCTTCTAGCAACTACTCTGATAGTTTAAGAAGGGTTTTTAACTAAGCTCTTTTTTAATGTACACTTGCATGAATATGATAATCATTCAGTACCATGGTACTGCCACAGTACAAAAAAAGTCTCAAGGAGGCCCTCGACAAAGAGGCCTATTAATTGATCCTATTATTGGCTGAAATACTCACTCATTTCTGGGACACATTCCATCTTGAAAAACTTTGTGGAGGGGAATAATAGTTTGACCGAGAAACACGTCCAGCCCGATCAGCACGCGATGCATCACGGTGAGCACCAGGTTGCTGCTCCCGGGCGGGTACGCGCTCATCCCACCCGCCTCCAGCAGCCCGGGCAGCAGCTCAAACGAGCATTCCTCGTGCCACTGCGGCTCCTCAGCCTTCTCCACCAGGCCGGTGGTGTACTTCTCCTTGCCGACCTGGATGATGGTGTAAACATAGCGGCTGCCTTGCTTGCCCTTCGTCCGCAGACTCCTCGCGCGAAGGACGGTCACGTTGACGTGCGTCGGGACCCATCTCTGATCATCGTCGTCCAGGCTAATCAGAGGCATCCCGTTGCAGTTGGAGACGCAGTTGTTTGGGATATAATCCAGCAGAAAGACACTTGCGCACTGGATAACTATGCACTGCCCGCGCCCTTGTCCCTATCCGCCACCCGAAGTTGCAGTGAGAGAAATCGCTGCATTACCGTGCAGCTCAATTCAAAAAGACGATCACAATTGAAACGTTGATAATAAATATCAAATCCCTGGCGAGTCAAACTTCACATTTACCGTAGTGGGCGTTCTGGACCCTCGGCGTCACCACCACAACAGATTTTTGACAATTCACTGCACTGCTGCTGCTGCGCGGCCCGCCCTCCAACATTTAGTGGGGGCTCCGCAATAAAGTATGCAGCTGAATTAAAGAGAAAGGCAACTCAATTCCGTGCTGCTATAGTTCATATCAGAACATAGTAAACAATCTAGCAGAGATCTACTTGGACTGGGAATCGGGGAGCACGCTGTAATGAGTGTGGGAAAACGAATCCATGCTGAAGCCGTTTGTTTGGTGAAAGAGTTTTGAAGGAATCCTTTAGGTCAGGGGTGCCCAAACTCGGTCCTGGAGGGCCGGTGTTCTGCAGAGTTTAGCTCCAACCCAAATCAAACACACCTGAACCAGCTAATCAAGCTCTTACTAGGCATGCTAGAAACTTCCCGGCAGGTGTGTTGAGGCAAGTTGGAGCTAAACTCTGC